ATGATAACAATATATATATATATATATATATATATATATATATATATATATATAGGTCCCATAATTATCTACCACCTTTTACTTCACAATCTGACTTTAATTCATCACTAATCTACTCTGTTTCATTTACCCTCTACTTCTGATTGTTTTGGTTGGGATCTTCTTGGCTCTCGTGGCATAAATCAACCACGTTATGACAGGTTGTTCGTTGGAGTTTCTTACATTCAAAGGATAATACTAAACACTCATGTTATTAAAATGAAAAAGGAAATTACTATTCTGACCCACGTGATTGGCACTTACCTGGAGATTTGGTCCATAATTTAAAAAATTGATATGGGTGGTTCCCATGGTTTCAAAATGATACACGGTTGGTTCTTTTGGTTGTTACCGCCAATGACCCTCCTATAACAAGTAAAATGACTATTATACCCATGAATCAAGCTTGTAAGAGATATAAACTATATGGACCAAATCTCTATCATGCCCCTCCCATCCCTTGTGATCATCATATCTAATCTCCCTCATATATACATTTCATGTCGTTTCCATTATCTCTTTTCTCTCTGGGTGACGTCGATCTCTCCACACATCAACTTACTACCGCTGTCAATGTCTCTCTTCTCTACAGGTGACGTCAACCTCCTCCACACCAGTGGCGAGTTTAGAACGTAAAACCACATGGTTCACTATTTAAAGGAAACCAATAAAAAAAATCAAAGATAGGCTTTGAAAATCTTGATTTATACATATTTGTTTTTGCCAAAAGCATTAAGGTGGTTCACTTAAAATATTTAAGATAGTTCACAATTTATATTTTTATATAACCTTTTATAAAAATAAAAAAAATAGGTGGATCAAGTGACCCACCTTTGATATATGTAGCCTCGCCACTGCTCCACACCTCCACTTTCGGTTACCACCACCAATACTCATAAGATTTGCTTTGGCGCCTACCATCTCTAGTGGTTCCTGAAAGTTACTACACCACGATGCCATCACCATTGTGTCACCTCATCCATTGCATCATGACGACACCACAATCCCACCTTGTTGAGTTGTTGCCTCATTCGCCTCACCACGTAGTCATTGTACCACAACAGTTTGAGAGTTTGGTATTATTTTCAAATTTAGATTTGATACCATCTGGAATTTTCTTTCTAGTCACCGAAGGTAGCAGATTCCATCACTCCTCTTTCCTTTTGATTATGATTTAGGATTAGGATTGTTTAGATTATTTTGAAAGTGAAAACTACAAATTTAGTCTCTATGTTTTGCAAAACAAATGGGATTCGAGTCCCTAAAGTTCAAATTTTTCACAAAACATCCTTATCCTCGTATTTCTTTTTGAATTAAGTATCTTTCTAAAGTGCAATAACTAAATTACCCTTATGGTATTTTATTTACACTTTATTACATTTATTATAACATTTAATTTCAATAAAAAGAAGATCGGGCCCACATATAGCCCCCATCCACTTTCTCTCTCTCTCTCTCTCTCTCTCTCTCTCTCTCTATATATATATATATATATATATATATATATATATTATATATATATATATATATATATATATATATATATATATATATATATATATATATATATATTACGCGAATGTCCGCACGTTGCGCAGAAACACCTATATAATTGAAATCTTTACAAATATATGTTTTTTTAATATAATAATATGTTGTTAAATTTGATATAATAATTTTTATACTAAATTGATATAATATATTGATTATTTTGAATTATATGATAATATATATATCTATTATAACTGTATAATCTCAACTGTTTGAATGACTTCTACATGCAAGTTACTCATGAATAAAATTAAATATAATATATGGCTTAATGTTATTTATAGTTTTTGTTATTGTTAATTAATTTTTTAAAATTTATTTTCTTGACATTTTAATTTCTATCATTATAATTATTTAAAACAGCAAACATTGTTTTTTGATTTTAAAGGTAACAATATAATCATTTATATAGAGTTATTTTTAACTATTGTTATTATAAGTTATTTTAAGCTACTAATTTGAAAACTTTGAACGATTATACAAATATCTTTAGGAAATATTTTAGTTAAATTGATATTATAATTTAGTTTTTTGCATTTAGCACTACAATTTATCACTTTTAACTATTCACAAAATATTCATTGGGTTTTTTAAGTGGAACTGAAATTTATATTTAAGTTGACACTGTAATGTTATATTTAAATTAACAGTTTAAGTATTTTGTCTAAACTGTTCCAAAGTTGTAGCTTTAATTTGATAATGGTTACATACAACAACATATTAAATCTAATAAATTAAGTAAAATATGTTAAAAGTTAAAGACATAACTTTATAAGTAGAAGTAAAGATATTATTTTAATATTGAAAATTAGTTTATTTATGATTACACTTTAGGTTTGATATTTATTTAACCTTATTAACTAAATTATAATCATTATTAGAAAGACACTACAATTGATCACTTTTAACTATTTACAAAATATTATTTGGGTTGTTTAAGTTAAACTAAAATTTATATTTAAGTTTGTCCCGTAATGTTATATTTAAGTTTATAATTTAAATATTTTATACAAATTGTTCAAAAATTGTAGCTTTAAAATGATAATGGTTTACATTCAACGATATATTAAAACTAATAAATTAAGTAAAATATGTAAAAAGTTAAAAAAAAAAACATAACTTTATAAGTAGAAGTAAATATATTCTTTTAATATTGAAATTTAGTTTATATATGATTACACTTTAGGTTTAATATTTATTTAATCTTATTAACTAACTTATAATCATTATTATAAAGAAATTGAAAAGTAATGAGAGTTTCAAATGAATGTGGTGAAAGGAAAAATGCATGAGAGTTTCAAATGAATGTGGTGAAAGAAAAAAATGTTTCATTTATAATATAGTACTAGACGAATTTCTGCGTGTTGCGCAACGTATGTTAAAAATATATTGTTAAAATATTGAAAAATATATGTTTAAAATGGTTATGTTATTGATATGAACTTTGACATAATATTTTGAAAAATATTATTCATTGCCATCAATCCACCTTCCTCATTAATAAAATTAAATATAATTATCTATTTAATGTTATTTTTTAACAATTGTTATGATCGATTAATTTAAATTTTTACTTATGCGATTATTTTCTAATTTCAGTAATGATGTTCATTTAAAATACAATTTATTTGTTGCTAACGTTGTGTAGTTTATAAATTGATGTTATTATCATTTAAAATTATTGTTATTTAGTTTTAAACAATTTATTATTATTAATAAGTTAAAGAAGACTTTTAATAAACACTTATTATTACTATTAAAATGTAAAACATACACTAATTAATAAACTGATAAGATAGACAATTCGCATTTCAAAAGAGACTTGCATGGATAATATGACATATCCATGATTTTATTATTTGATTTTATTATTTATAATTATTGTTCATTAATTTTAAAACCACTTATTATTATTATTAAATGAAAGAAAACTTTTAAAAGACACTTATTATTATAATTAAAATGTTAAACATAAGTGATAAGATAGACAATTTGCATTTTAAAAGAGACTTACATAGATACTATTGATAATATCACATATCCATGATTTTTAATTAATTATTACTTTGAATCAACACAAACATGCAAACATATATACAATATTTAATTAAATATTATCTATATCGTTTTCCATAACATATGATCGATAACATGAATCTAATTTAATTTACATTAAAGTTTCAACCACAACATACAATGATTATCTTAAAAGAATACTTAAACCAAGAAAAATATAAACAAAGAATTAGTATATAACAAATTTACAAATTAAAATCTTTAACATAATAACATGGCCCGAGAAATGGTCCAAAACCTTCAAACCAACAAAAAAAACCTTTAAACTTGTTTTCTTTGTGAATTTTATATGTGATTTGTATTTGTGTGACCACTAAAAGAGATTGTCATTTTTATAGTAGACTATCCATTAATTGCTTATTAAAATATTATATAAGTTATAAAACCTATCATGATGTGTGATTAATTACTTTGAATGTGAAAATGTGTGGGGGTTTCAAATGCATGAGGTGCTTGGAAATTTGTATGGGGGTTTCAAATGCATGAGGTGATAGGAAAAAT